CGCAAACCCTAAACCCTAAACACCTAGACCCTAAACCGCCGAAGCCGGTGAAGGCCGCCGGTCTGCCTCACAACGAGATTGCGGCACAGGAGGGGGGATTTCGGGGGTTTGGGGTCCGGGACTTCGGAGGTTGGGGTCTGAGGCTTAGGGAGTTAGATTTAGGTTTTGGTGCTTAGTTTTCGGAGTTTTCAGGGGTTATCGGGTTTAAGATTCAGGTTTCAGGGTGCCGGACTGATCCCCAACCGGGCCCCCAGCTTTCGAAGAAGCACAGAACCCAAACCCGCCCAAACCCCCGCTCTCACCACCCTCAACAGGAGAGAAATCCCAAAACCGCAGACATCCGACATCCACTCGGCCGTGGGCTGTTTCTGGAATTTGCCATTTTTCGGGAAACTTCCTGGTGGTAGAAGCACGACTACCACCAAGACCGCCAGCTGCATCTTCGGACTAAGCCCTGCTGCATCAACTTGCAGGCTGTGCCTGATGCTCTTCTCCCGCATGCGACGACCATAACTAGGACCAGCACAGCACGACTATCTGCTACTTGTAGCATGTGTTGGCACTTCGTTGGCAGCGACCTCCGTTGCATCGAGCTTTGGATCAGGATTTCAGCTGGTAAGATAGAGAAACCCCATGGGAAAGGAGCGGTCCGTTTTAGCATGCTTGAGTGACTTCGGCTTCTGGCAGGTGTGCCGACAGGCATCGCTGGTCAAGGGAAAGGATGTCCTGGACTCAGCTTTCGTTGAGGTTCTGGAAAATTTTTGGTGGAAGGACTTGATTTTCAGTCCGGCTCCCTTTATGGGCACGTCGGCTGTAGCATCCTCAAACCTTGCTGGGCCATTCGTAGTTTCTCTTAGCCTCGTTCGGCAGTGCAGAGCGCAAGCAGAGCAAATCAATACAGGCTGTTTTTGGATCGAGAAATCGATTTTGTCTTGTGGCAGTCTTCGTCGGCTCAGTAGGAGTTATCAGGTACAGCCGCAGGATTAGCATTCCGAGTAGGAAAAGTGGTTGTTGCATCAGCGGCAGTCTTGGTGGTGGGCGTTTCGGCAGGTAGGCAGTGCTACTACTATGTACTATGTACTACTACTACTACTACTACTACAAACTGCTGTTAAAGGTTGAAAAATGCGTGATGGCCCAGACAGCAAATCACAGACGCCACAAGATTGTAAACCACAAAGCCCGAAAGTTACAAACTTTACAAACATGGATCCGTCACGCTAATGCAGGGTTGAGTAGGCGATTGGCCGGAGACGTAGCTTCTTTATGCTTGCAGCAGCAGCGCTCAATAGCCGAATAGACTCCTATCAAGTTTTGGTCACGACATACAGCTTGCCTCTGCCAAGGTGATGGACCATACTCAGGAGAATTTTAGCATCGTGTTCGGCGCCATGGGTCGGGTTGCCCGGTGATGGGAAGCCACACCCCGCGGAGAGATCAACATGAAACCCCTAAACCCTAAAACCCTAAACCCTAAAACCCTAAACCGCCTAAACCCTAATCCCTAAACCCTAAAACCCTAAACCCCAAACCCGAACAGGCCGGATTCGCAGACCCCAACTTGGACCCAGCAGAGTGACATGTGTCATGGTGTGCGTTCAAGTTTGGGGAGTCTAGGGTTTACCGTTTAGGGTTTAGGGTTTAGGGTTT